CAGGAATGCTTTATTTTCTCTGGTTATTTTATCTTGACACAAACGGTATTTTTCTTCTACACAGGGTTTTATTTTGAAATAGTTACGTAAAGGGGAAAAAAGAGTTATCTGAAACTCCCTCAAGTCTATCAAAGCAGCCTTTCCTAACCAACATTTGTCATGAACAGTTTTCATCTATCCTAGTTATAAAATACTTGGATATTCTCATCTGTTTTACTAAGATGGCAACATACAAGGCTGTTTATTAGCAGACTTCCCATTGCTGTAGAGCAGCGATGCAATTAGGCAAAAATAAATGGCAACACAAGTGACTCCGATACTTGCATTTTGCAAATTTTAGATACCAAAAGTATTCCGCAGGTGGAAATCCCTGTGGGCTTCAACTGAATTTTTACTGTGTAAAGTCAAGTTTAAGTTCCAAGTTAATCAAAGGGAAAAAAAAAAACCACTTCATTGACAAAAATCCCAGGAATAGACAAGTACTACTAGTCAGTTTAGTTAGAAGAGTTATACCTGTTTTACCAGCCATGACTTCAATCTGCTTGACTGTTAAACTTTAAAAAACCGAAATATATGTAGCACTTCAAGGAAAGACAACCATTCATTTTTCTATGTAAATGACAGAAATAATTTTTTTTCCTATCTTGATTCTAAAATATTAGATTAAAAAAAAGGTAGCAGAAATGAAAATGAAGTTCACTCACATGGAAGACGTGAAGGATGATTATCCAGATACGAATACTCGCTGTGTTTTTGGTGTAACTACAAAAATCCCATTCACACTGAGTCAAAACCAGGCACTGCTCACTTTTGAAGATGAAGAAGGTATGATGCATATTTTAAGTATAAAATTATTGTCTCTGATGTACTTCATTGCCAAAGGGAAAAGATTTACATAAACATTTTGGGGAAAAAAATCAACAACAGCCAAAGAAAGAATACACAGAGAACCTTTCACTGTTATAGAATCATAGAATCATTAAGGTTGGAAAAGACCTCCAAGATCATCGAGTCCAACCGTCAACCCAACACTCCCATGCCCACTAAACCATGTCCCTCAGCGCCTCACCTACCCGTCTTTTAAATACTTCCAGGGATGGTGACTCAACCACTTCCCTGGGCAGCGTGTTCCAATGTTTAACCATTGCAAGAAAGATTGTGAATCTTTGTTAATATAGTTATTGCTGTTCTTTAGTACTGTTGCTCTGCTAAGCACTGCTTGAGCACAATGTTCAGATAACACCAGCCCTGGAGAGAGGAGGCTTCTCCATGGGCCGAGGTAATGTCACTACCCCTTTGGCTGCCCTGTGCTGGGCTGTGACCCCTCACCAGCCTCGTTGCCCTTCTCTGGACACGTTCCAACATCTCAACATCCTTCTTGTAGTGAGGGGCCCAAAATTGAACCCAGTATTCGAGGTGCGGCCTCACCAGGGCCGAGTACAGGGGCACGATCACTTCCCTACTCCTGCTGGCCACACTATTTCTGATTCAGGCCAGGATGCCATCGGCCTTCTTGGCCGCCTGGGCACATGATACCAATCAGTAGAAGAAAATTCTTGCAAGCACTGTGCATGTTTTGTTGGATTACCAGATCTCTGCTCTCAGCTAATACAAACAATACTTGGTGTTTGAAACTGGGAATATGCTTCTACCTCACCGAGTATTGTCAAGAATGATTCAAAATGTTTTGACAGTAGAATTTGATTATTTTCTTTATGCTGGGCAGTACCTTATTCTGACAGCAGTTATGTTGGTTAAGGGTACGGATCAGATGATGGGTAGATCTGAGACGACAGAGGGACGGTGCAGTCTGTAACTTGCCTGCTTCCCACTGAGATGCTTGTTGTTTGGACAGCCTGGTGCCTGCCCGCAAGGAGCCTGCAGGCAGCCTGGCTGGGACTGCTTGGTGGGTAACTCAAGTTACGCAAGTATATTGCAGATACAAAGCTAGTGTCCAATTCATTTCTTTCAGCTAAAATCTAACTTTGCTAATAGGCATCCTCTGCACCTGGTAGTGATGTGGTTTTCATCCAAGGATATTTTAAATTAAATATGAGAAGTCTAGTATTAATATTTGATACAGTGAGAGCATCTTTTGACAGCATAAAGATTCTACTGTTCTATACTAATCTAAAGATAGTATAGTATTTTACCTGTTGCCTATAACCGGTGAGATTTTATGGAAATAGACATGCCTGAAGACATGGGTAGTGGGATCTGGTTGCCTGACTGTTATTTATTTCTCCTTTATTGTTGCAAAAGGAGATTTTGCTTAAGAGACTGGGGAATAGTTTTGGTTTTGTAATGATTAAACAAGGCTTTTCGTATCTGAAAACTTGTGATTTTCCTTAGTTGCCCAGAGACTGATAAAAATGGGTAAGCATACTGTGAACCTGGACAACAAAGTAGCAGACGTGACAGTGAAGCCTTTTACACTTGAAATGGGAATCAGATTTGAGGTAATTAACTGAAATACGAAACTATAAAGATACGAATTTGCAGTACTTAAAAAGCTTTCGGTTCCGGGTTTTGGGTGTTTTCAGTCACAAAGTGCACAAAAAATTTATTCTTTTAGCTCCATGTCACTATTTCTGGAAAGAAGATCAACATTTCAGAAATACCTGCGCTATTAATTCCTGAAGACTGGATAAAAGACAAATTAGAGCTGAATTTCTACAAATCTGAACAGGGAGGAGGAGGAGAAGTAGAAAATGTGAACTATGACAAGGAGTCTGGAACAGCTGTTATTACGTTCCTCAGACCTGGAGGTATAGTATGTAATATTTTGTTAGCTAGATGTATAGGCCATATTGTCCATTCTGCGTTACGTTCCATTCCATATTACATTCTGTGTTAACCACTGAATGTAGCAAATTCTTCCCACGGAGAGTTAAGTAGATCAGGAAAAGATGTGGGTTCACCCACACATCTGTAAATAAAGCAGTATTTCATCATATTCCTTTTTGATCAAACATGTCCTGATACGTAGTTTGTGAGCTTTACTTCTTTCTTTGACAAAAGTCTGTTTTTTCTTTGCATTGCTAGACACTTAATATTGCAAAAAGAAAATTGGGAAAATGTGTTTGATTTTAGCTCTTGTTTCACAACAATGAAGTTAGACAGGCATTCAGATTGCCCAACTGTATGAAATTCTGTGAAGATCAGTGGAGCCACATCCATTTAGAGCAGCTGCTTTAGATTTATTTCAGAAGCTTTTGTGAGTATTTAATGATTTCGCTTTTTTGGAAATGCCAAATAAACCTTTTTCAAAATGCATATGAAGAATCTACAAGTGTGCTATCATATATTAGTTTCTAAATCCATAGAAGAAAGATTAGTCTCTTCTTTGATAGGCTTACAAAATGCATTTTAGATTGTATTTCTCCTACTTCTCTTTTTCTCATTCTCCATTACAGCAGCTAACGGCTTTGTGAGATGTACTAAATATCCTTTCTTTGTAAATGGAAGGTGCTATTTGCTTTCTGTGTCCCCAAACACCGACGTACATTTGGAAAAGTTTCAGGTAAAAGAATTTAGTCCAGGCTAACCCCTAAATAGAACAGATATGTGGGAAATACGAGATACGGGCAGAATTTTCAGTTCTGAGGACTGCAGAAGCTTTTGCATGCACTTCGTGAAACTTAAGAGCAAGTGTGGGTCTGCAATATGCAGCTCTGCTGATAATCTTCTGTTTTGCAGTGTGAAAGCTATTATTTGTTTTAAAAGGGTGTGCCTGTCTTTCCTTGATCAAATTATATCATTACTTACCATAATGTCTGTGCTAGACGGGAGGCAGATACTGAATTGTTTGTGAAGTAGGTCAACAGTAGACACAACAATGTTTTTCCAAGTCACAAAGAACTGTCATGCTCATCCCCAATGAGAGGCCTCGTTGATAGTCTCAGCAGAGACCCTTGTTGTTCCATGAAACATTTGCTCGTTCATTTTTTTTTTCATTCATTCATTCAACCCAAATAATGACTTCTTTTCCTGTAACACTAGTCTGCTTGCTCATCATATTCTCACTGACATTGTCTTTTACCTTGTATGAATAGACTGTAATCAAGTCAGTATTGTGTATAATCAGACCTTTATAAATTAAATTAAAGCAGTGACTAGAGTGTGTGCGTTTATGAGATAAAACAGCATTCTTTGCAGGTCACGTATCATCTATTGCCGTGGATTTTTATGGAGTGATGCTGTCTAGAGTCATCAGAGATCCCCAGATCCAGTGTGTGTGTGCATTAAGGAGCGTAGGACACACCAGTTAAGGAGGCTAGGTGCCCTGCCTATTGAACTCGGTAGTGTGTGATAGAGTCCAGAACTCCTGCTGTTTTCAGTGACAGAAATATACCACGCTGTCCAAAGTCTTAAAATGTAATCAAAGATCCTAGCTGTATCTGATCAAGGATATGTTTATTTCCAGTATTTGTCAGTTCCTTTAGATGTACATGCAACAGCTGATGTGTAATGCAAGTTTGTTTTGCTTTCCTCAATAGCTCTATCATGGGATTTCTAAGAAGACCATTCTGTTGCAAGGAATTAAAGAGACGGAAGAGGATGAGGAAAGTATACAGGACATGATTGAAATTCATTTTCAGAAGCCTAGTAATAGTGGTGGGGAAATAGAGAAAATCAAGTATGTATCAAAAGGAATAACGTGTGTTTGTTTTGAGGAGGATACTTAGAATGCCGTATAGAAGTTGTAGATCGAACTCATGAAGTTCTGAGTTTTTGCTTCATCAGAGGCATAGGAAGTATCCTGGTTTATGCAGATATGTGCTTTAATGCTGTGAAATTTATATTTGAAAAAGAGGAGCTACCTGGCTTTCTGATTTGTGTAACGGCACAGACTTTGCGTAGAAATTCAGCAAAACTCACTGCTTGGTGTTCCAGAGGTTCCCGATTGAAGTCACAGAAAAAGCCTTTACCAGCACTTGAAACTTAATGTATGATTGCTTTCTGCAAATTTGCAGATTTTGTATTTTGCAAATTTTAGATCGGTCACATACTCCAAAGTGGGATAAATCTAGTCCTTCTTACATTTTGGTTACAAAAGCCGTATGTAATCCCAACCAAAAGCGTCTTCACAGACCTGCTTTTTTAAAGTGCCATAGCTTCAGAAGGTAGCTCTGACAGAACTCCAGTCCTGCTGAGGTTGCTGTGTGCCACCATAACTCAAACACCTGAAAGCAGTTATCCTGTAATTTCATAAAATATGCGTTGTCAAATTAGTGATAAAATTAAAATAGGAAAAGGGAGAGTGCAAAACCACCACAGATTTACTCAAGAAATCGCACCTTACAGGAAATGCCATAGCAGTAATACTGCTTTTAGCTGTCGAAACGCTGTTACTTCTCCTAGGATCCGCTGCAAATTCTGCTGAGCCTCTGATAAGTTAATAGCCTGGTTTTATTGTTTGGTTTTAATATTTGCTTCTACAATTATATCTTTCCTCATTTGTGTTCATGATTTTGCTTACTTTAAAATATTACAGTTGAGAATTGAGATGATTCTTTATCTAAAACAGATTGCTTTGTAACAACGCTGGTGTAACAGTCTATTTTGCTGCGTGTGACTGGCCGGGTGGCTGGCTGTGGGAGGCAGTTCTTCTTCCAGTTCTCATTCTAAAAGATCTTTGAAATAAAATGGAAGTTTTATCCTCCTCCTCAGAGGAGGATTTATTTTCCAAGGAGGAATGTTTTTTCCTTTTCTGCTGTCGTCCTTTTTATTCGCTACCCTCGGGGGCTGAAATGGTTTGGCAACAATAACCTTAACTTCAAAGTAGTGTTACCCTAAGTCGGCAGATGAAGAACTCTCTAAGACTCAATTTGGAGTTTTAGAAAGCAGGCATTCTTTATTGCGGCGCCGGGTTTCCACAAATCACGCACACCTATGTCGAGATCACCGTTACATTTATACACAAGAATTACAAGGTAGTACCAGTACAATGATTGGTTAGTGATTTACAACTGGTGGTCCCAGTTACAATGATTGGTTAGTGATTTACATATAATTACAATATCGGTTGTGTCATTCTCTTCTGTTACTACGCTTGCGCGGGGGAAGGGTCTTCACCTGGGCAAGGGTCTTCTTGACCCGTGGGTGTGTTTTTCGGTATTATAATGAAGGCAGTTCACTTCAGGCCACCTTAAAAGTAGGTTTTGTTGCCAAGTTGGCCAGCTAGAGATCTACCTGGCCAGGCTGTCAAATAACTCATCCCATACACAATAGAACCCAGGTGCTCTGGTTATGGTCTAGAGGGTCCAGAGAATAGGGACGTCAAGCAACACAGCCTCAGATAACAAGTAACGCAGCAACCCGTACGTAACGCTACCATAGAGGCTCACTTCTTGAAATCACGATGTTCTTATAGTTGATTATTTCACAACCAAACATAGAAAGATTCAGTAAAACTTAAGATAATCTTCAACATTTCCCCCCTTTGAAAGTTTTGAAAATCATTTCAATACTTTCATTCTAACAATTATTTTTAAATTAGTGAGAATCATATTTTAGTGGGAATCTTCGGAACTGTTTCTTGTTCATCTTGTTGTCTGGCCACTGCTTGGATGATCATTCGATTAAATGCAGTCTTACTGTTTATTTGCCTTTTTAAACAATAGTAAATCAAAATAATTGTTAAAAGATTATCAACAAGACTAATGCAGTGCTAATCAGTGATTTTAGCCATGAACTCAAATTCCATCCTCGTCCCTTGAAGATTTTAATCTCCTCAGGATTAAGGTTTGGAATTTGAGTAGAATTACATCCCAATTTTAATAGATTTCCATGTTTTACTAATTCTCCAGCTGGTTCAAATTTCACTAGAAAATTGGCTCCCACTAACATCCAAACCAATATCCATTCCCATTTCTGAAAAGAATACACAAAATTAGACATATTTCAGAGTCAATTTTGAGGTCTTCTTATCCATATTGATAATTTTCCAGGGTGGCGGGGCTTTCTTCACCCTGGTGCAGTGTGTCCACGCTTCTGATTCAGCTACCTCAATGGCGGTGAAGGTAGTCAACAGTACTTGAAAAGGTCCTTTCCAACGTTCCTGAAGAGGTTCAGAAGTCCATGTTTTCACATAAACATAATCTCCTGGTTGGAAATCGTGTACTGGATTCTCCAAGGACAGAGGCCTGTTCCAA